TGATTTCCGGGGCACTGGACTCATTCGCTGCGAATCTTGTTTTTTTAATAATGTCAATGAAACTCTGCTTCTTTCCCAGGAAGCCCTTTCCTCTGTATAGCAACTCTTGCTCTGATTTGCTCTTCATTCATTTGCAAGCTACTAGTGCGAGCAATCCGTGTTGAAGCCTGGGATCCATAACTCGCCTCTTGGGTCAGGATACGGTTCTGAACTACTGCTTCCTTTTAGGTGCTCGCTTTGACGACGGGGCCGGCGGAGACAACGAAGTCCAGCGCACCATGCTGGAATTGATCAACCAACTGGATGGCTTCGACCCGCGAGGGAACATCAAAGTCTTGATGGCCACCAACAGGCCTGATACTCTGGATCCTGCCTTGATGAGGCCTGGAAGATTGGATCGGAAGATTGAATTTAGCCTTCCAGATCTGGAGGTATAGACTGCTCTTATTCTTAAACAATAGCGATGATGGTGATGAATGTTGCGCCGGTACAGGGGCTCCTCAACGTACGACCCACAAATTTACGTTGCTGAGTGAGAAATTGGTTTTAAGGGAGTTTTGCCCCATTTTACGATGCCCAGCCAAAGTCCCCCAGCCTGCTTTCATGGCTAAGGCAGGACTAGAACTCATAGCCTACTGCCTTCTAGCTTAGTGCCTTAACCACTAGATTAGAATGGCTCTCCCATAGTTGTTCCACCTGTATAGCCCATCCTTTTTTTTACCCCCAGACTTACCCCTACCCAGCTTTCATCTCTTATCCATTTGTCACTGGCACACAATGGCATGCTCAAAGCTCATCTGTCTTGCCTGTCTTAGGAAGGGCAAGGCAACTGGGTTTCTTGAAATAACCAAAGAGAGAAGCAACCTAGAACTAAGGAGAAATTTCCTGGCAGTGAGAACAATTAACCAGTGGAACTCCTTGCCTCCAGAAGCGGTGAATGCTCCAACACTGGAAGTTTTTAAGAAGAGACTGGACAGCCATTTGTCCGAAATGGTCTAGGGTTTCCTGCCTGAGCAGGGGGTTGGACTAGATCGGGGTAGGCAACCTTGGCTCTTTTATGACTCGTGGACTTCAACTCCCAGAATGCTGGCTCAGGAATTCTGGGAGTTGAAGTCCACGAGTTATAAAAGAGCCAAGGTTGCCTACTCCTGGATTAGGTAACCTCCAAGGTCCCTTTCATCTTTCTTTCTTTCTTTCTTTCTTTCTTTCTTTCTTTCTTTCTTTCTTTCCCTTTCTTTTCCTTTCTTTTTCTTTCTTTCTTTCTTTCTTTCTTTCTTTCTCTTTCTTTCCTTCTTTTTCTTCCTTCCTTCCTTCTTTTCCTTCCTTCCTTCCTTCCTTCCTTCCTTCCTTCCTTCCTTCCTTCTTCTTCTTCTTCTTCTTCTTCTTCTTCTTCTTCTTCTTCTTCTTCTTCTTCTTCTTCTTCTTCTTCTTCTTCTTCTTCTTCTTCTTCTCCTTCTCCTCCTCCTCCTCCTCCTCCTCCTCCTCCTTTTCCTCCTCCTCCCGTCTTCCTTCTTTTTGTCATTATCATTATTATCATTTATTTATTTTCATTCTCTGAGCCAGGAGTCCTCTTGAGAACCGATCCTTAAGGAAGCTCAACACTTGCTAAGCCCTCCAACTTATTTCCTCCATGCCTGTCCTAACCAAAGCTTGGTTTGTTTCTTTCTTTCTTTAGGGAAGAACTCACATATTCAAAATCCACGCCCGTTCCATGAGCGTTGAAAGAGACATAAGGTTCGAGTTGCTGGCTCGGCTGTGTCCGAATAGCACTGGTAAGTTTAAACAGGAGGAATAACACTAGCACTTAAGATTTATATACCGCTTCACAGCCCTCTCTAAGCGGGTTACAGAGTCAGCCCGTTGCCCCCAACAATCTGGGTCCTCCTTTGACTGACCTCGGAAGGATGGAAGGCTGAGTCCACCTTGGTTCGGTCAGGATCGAACTACTGGCAATGGGCAGAGTCTGCCTGCAATACCGCATTCTAACCACCGCGCCACCAGGGCTCCTAACATTGTAGTTTTTGTCGGGTCCCCCTCTCACGCTCTTTGTTACTATGCTTTGTGTTGTTTTTAAATCCCTTTGTATTCCTGCACAGGTGCTGAAATCCGCAGCGTCTGCACGGAGGCGGGTATGTTTGCTATCCGGGCGCGGCGAAAAATCGCCACCGAGAAGGACTTCCTGGATGCTGTGAACAAAGTCATCAAGTCGTACGCCAAGTTCAGTGCTACCCCGCGGTACATGACCTACAACTAATCTCGGATCTGTCAGAGAACCCTCTGTTTCTGCAAAATGCTGTGTTGTAGCTGGATCTAGTAGAAGTAAAAAAAAAAAAAAAGGAACATTCCAACTTATACAGTGGTCGTTCTTGAAAGTGTAACCGTTTAGCTTTATTGTGTCTCCAATAAAGGTTGTGAAAACCAACTCGACTCCAGACTTCGAATGCTTCTTGTGGGTTTAATTCAATACTTTCTAAATCAAATGTAAATCCTCTTTAGGTTTAAGCTTTGAGACAGGAACACCCTTGAGAAAAGCACAGTGGTGGCTTGACTGACAGGTCTCCCTACAGGTGAGCAAGTGGTACATGATATTTTTTTTCCCAGTTGGTTGGAGGACTAGAGTCCAGTAGAACACAGGAGCAGCAAAATTCATTTTTTTTTTAAAAAAAGAAGGAAAGTTAGAATGAAAAGATACATTTAGAATAAGAAGATAAGGTATTTTACCCTGGCTAGTGTCTTCATTCTAAGCCAGGGGTGTCTGATCGTGACAATTTTTAAGACTTGTGGACTTCAACTCCCAGAATTCCCCAGCCAGCATGGAATTCTGGGAGTTGAAGTCCACAAGTCTTGGGACACCCATTGGAAGCAATGGATAAAGTAGCAAAGGCCCAACATAGTGTATACATCTGCAGATTTATCCCCATAGCAACATGAATTGGCTGTGTAAAAATAAAATGACAAGAGAATGAAATTTCAAGGTTTATCTTTTTATTAGAGGTTTTAACTTTTGACTCCTCCTCTGAAAGAAACGGTTATAAAATGCAACAAGGCTTTGCCACAATCGGCGGTTGATAGAATATATTGTCTTAAATGCAACCCCACCCATTAAATAAAAGTCACGGTCTACGTTGCAGAGATACCAGGATTCACAGTGCAGTCTTACGTAACCCTAGCAATTCACATAAGCTAGTTTCTTTTAAATATAATACGAAAAAGGCAGAGCATCGGGAGTCCTACATCCTTTGTACAACATAGCTAACTTTTTTTTATTAAAGAGTGCGGGAGGGATGACCCGAATAGCTTAAAAAGTTTTATTCTCCAGAAACTTCTGGAAAGTTTGCAAATTGATGCTAAAAGAAACCGCTTGCGACGGACCGAGAGTCTCCAGCTATCAGTATTAGAAGTTTGCTTCAAAATTGCAGATATAAAAGAAACGCATGTAAACAGCCTTCAACAGATACACCAATATCCTTTGGTTTAAACATACCCACGGAAGAAAAACCAGTTTTATCTCACAATAATATTCTTAACAACAGGACAAGTAAGGGTTTGGCAACATTAGCAGAAAGGCAGAGACTGTATTTGGAGGGGGGGGGAAGAACCCCCCTGGATGCTTAAGGCTTATTTAGTAAAGTTGGAGAAATCAAATTCCTCCAGTTTTTTTTAATTTTTCGGTGATGTGGTGGTGGCAATGTCCCAACCCTGTATTTACTTACCTGCGAGGAAGCACAATTGAACTAAAACTGCATAGGGCATCCAGCTGCGTGCTACGCAACAAAACAAATTTGTCCCTTTTGCAACCCACCGCTGGACACGACAACTTAAATTGTTAATGCTTGTTCACCGATCCCACACTGCGTTGAGAATTGTCTCAAGAAACCCAACTTCCTCAGGAGTGGCATCATGAGATTTTTCGGAACAATCTTTTTGGGACTTAAAAGATAACGTCACTGCGCAGAAAATACACCGAGCAGGATCCTCTAACTTTGGAAAATGCCATTTCTTCATTTTTCTTTCTTTTTTTCCAGACAATTTGTAGCTAGCTGTAACTGTAACTGTAGTAACTGTACCCAGATAGCTTTAGGTGTAAAAAAGTAGATTTTGGGTGCTACGTTCTCTTCCCCCCCCCCAAGCAGTTGCATTATGTATTGTTCATTTCCCAGCTAAGTTTAAATACACCTTGCTTAAGGTTAGTTAGCATTGGACCAGTACAGTAAACCTCCTTAACGTGAAAATGATCTGTTAACTCTGGAGTCGTAATAATTTAAAATAAAACAGAGCTAAAGGGCTCGTTCGAAACAAAATGTTTATGCTTCTCTTAGTAGTCATCAGATGAAAAAGCACTGATTTCTGCATCTGGAAACGGCGTTGCGTCGAAAATCTGGAAACGGCTTGCATATTCAAGTTAGAGGAGCTCTCACACACACACACACAAACACACAATACATAATCACACACACAACAGCTCCTTTCAACAGTCACCCCAATTCTTGCCAGGAAGACACTGTTAAAATAATATTAATATTTTCTGGCAAGCTAACTCAAAACAAAAACACTGCCAAACGTACGCAGCAAGACACAACTTCACGCGCTCTACAAATAATCTTTGCGTTTATCCCACGCTTCCATCGACGACTTTTGAATTCAGTGACAACGTTTGAAAGGATTAAGGCTTCCGGAGTCTTAAGAACCCAGGGCCGGCAGGGAACAGGCTGTTGTGGTGCGGTGCGGTGCAGACACACCTTACCCGTAGGAGTGGCTTGTCTGAGGCTCTGTCATCTGCGCATATTAAATAAATTGTCTACAGGAGCCCTTGGAAATAGATCCACGTGGTTCACAATGGAGCAGCTGAGTTAAAGATAGGTGGAAGAGAAGCCCGTCGCCTGGCTGGCCAGGACAGCGTCGTGAACACTGGGGAAGAACGAGTCCCATAAGGCTGCTTTCTCAAAAAAATGCAGTCTGGTGAGGTTGTCCATAACAGAGCCTGATGGGAATAAAAGGGGGAAAAAAACAAAACACTTTCAGGCACGTATTAGATATCAAGTGTCAGGTATTCATTTAAGAGTCCCTTATACAGGTAGTCCGTGAGTTACAACCAGGGGTGGGATTCATCCGGTTTGCACCGGTTCGGTAGAACCGGTAGCTAAATTTTGCTGAGTTCGGAGAACCGGCTGAATGCACACTGCTTCCAGAAGTCTGTTCTAGGCCTCGGAGGCCTGGAGGAGGCCTCCCAAGCCTAGAACGGCCCGCCAGAAGTGCGTGGATGCCACTTCCTGAAGTCCGTTCTAGGCCTGAGGCCTAGAGGAGGCCTCCCAGGCCTAGAATGGCCTGCTGGAAGTGCGTGGATGCCACTTCCGGAAGTCCGTTCTAGGCCTCGGAGACCTGGAGGAGACCTCCCAGACCTAGAACGGCCCGCCGGAAGTGCGTGGATGCCACTTCCGGAAGTCCGTTCTAGGCCTCGAAGGTCTGGAGGAGGCCTCCGAGGCCTAGAATGGCCCGCCGGAAGTGCGTGGATGCCACTTCTGGAAGTCCGTTCTAGGCCTCAGAGGTCCAGGCCTACATCCAATAAGAGAACCAGTTGTTCGGGTATTTCAATCCCACCACTGGTTACAACAGCTCATTTAGTGACCGAACTTACAACAGCACTGAAAAAAGTGACTTATGACCCTTTTTTCACACAGCCGTTGCGGGATCCCTTCCATCACGTGGAAACCGACTCCTATTCCTATCGTAAAGCCGTCCAACAAGTCGCCTGATAAGCGAGATGGGCGGCAAACAAACTGAATGAAATAAATGATGAAACAATGAAATTTACGGAGTAAAATATCTTGGGTTTCCTAACGTTTTGTTCCTTCTGTATTTTATCTTACGGTCAAACTTAATAAAATGTATAAAGTACAATTGTGTGTCATTTCAAATCATTGCTAATTCCTGTTACCCCATTGTTTCCTTAACCTTTTCCTTCATTAGCCGAAGTCTCTTATCAGAAAATCCTTTTTACCACTTATCGGAAAGACCTTTTTGCCGTTTATCAGAAAGTCCATATTTAAAAGCTAATACAATCCTGGGTTGTATAAACAGAGGCATAGAATCAAGATCACGCAAAGTATTAGTACCGCTTTACAAAGCCCTAGTAAGACCACACCTGGAATACTGCAGCCAATTTTGGTCACCATATCACAAAAAAGAGGTTGAGAGTTTGGAAAAAATTCAGAGGAGAGCAACTAAGATGATCCAAGGCCTGGAGACTAAAAAAATACGGAGAACGGCTGCAGGACTTGGGTTTGGCTAGTCTAAAGAAAAGAAGAAATAGGGGAGACATGATAGCAGTGTTCCAGTATCTGAGGGGCTGCCACCAAGAAGAGGGGGTCAAATTATTCTCCAAGCCACCTGAAGGCAAGATAAGAAACAATGGTTGGAAACTGACCAGAGAGAGAAGCAACCTGGAATTAAGGAGAAACTTCCTGACAGTAAGAACAATTAACCAGTGGAACGACTTGCCACCAGAAATCGTGGGTGATCCATCACTGGAGGTTTTTAAGAAGAGACTGGACAGTCACTTGTCTGAGATGGTATAGGTTATCCTGCTTCAGCAGGGGGCTGGATTAGAAGACCTCCAAGGTCCCTTCCAGCTCCATTCTATTCAAATGTCCCTGTTGTGATTAATAGGTTTGTGTTTCTCAAACAAAAGTCACTTTTACCCAGGCTTGAGAAACCACAAGTTATGCCCAGAAAACAAAGCTCCACAGTATAATTCTTACAAGCAAAAGCAAAAATGTTTTTGCTCCCTCGGGGAAGAGTTGATAAAGAGAAAGCTTTATTTGGCTCACAATCCTGACACATGGATTAAGTTGTTTATGGAGGAAGGGCTGTTCTGCACTCAGCTAAAGCACTGGGAATAATATTACCTTTTGGCACAAGCGTCAAAAGTTTATTTAAAAGCACAAATACGCCTCTTTCTCTCTCTCTCTCTCTCTCGCATTTTACCTTTAACTGGATACCGATATGTTTTTTTTTCCTTTTTAAAAAGGTTTTTTCCACCTTCCGCCTTTTGGGAAGCTTCCACCTTTCCAAAATGTTTTGCAAAATATCTATTTGTAAGCCCAGCTCATCCTCGACTTACGATCACAACCGAGCCCAAACACATTTCTGCCCCTAAGTGAGACATTTATTAAGCGGGTTTTGTTTGCCCTGTTTTACGACTTTTCTCGCCGCCGTTGTTAAAGGGAATGACTGCAGGTTGTTAAGTTAATAACGTGGTTGTTAAGTTGTTCTGTCCCAGCCTACGTGAGTCCTTGTTAACTCACAAGGACCAACCCCTCTTTTAACAAGTAGGCTGGAAATGCAGGGAAAAACAAACCCCTTTTATTAATTAGGTACAGACCTGCAAAATGTCCCAAAAGCAAAAGCAAACAAAACACGATGCAAACAAAGAATTGTCCCAAGGCAAACAGAACACGATTCAAACGGAGAATTGTTCACAGGCAAGGCAAACAGAACACGATTCCAGGAAACTTGAGTCCTTTGCAATCGGTTGCCTTCAGCAACCAGCACCGCCCACACCTTCCCTTTTTATTATGCAGCCCCAAGGCGTGGCTGCTCAATGCCTTCTCCTCCTCCCTTGCAGTGGCCCCATGGCCTCCCATCGTCCTGCTCTGGTTGCCTGTCTGCATTTGCGAGCGTCTATGACAGACATGTCAAACACAAGGCCCGGGGGCCGGATGCGGCCCACGAAGTGGTTTCATGTGGCCCGCGAAGCCATCCTGGAAACAGTGAGGGAACGGCCCCCGCTGCCTTGGCCCTGGCCCAGGCCAGCTGGGAGCCAATGTACAATTTTGGGGTGGCCATCTATGCTGAAACGCATTCAGTCTTAGCTCCACAAGGCCATCTGGAAACAGTGAGGAACCAGCCCCTGCCGCGTCGGCCCCGCCTCCTGGGTGCATGCTGGGGAGGTGTCACCCTTTGTTAGGAATGAAGAAATGGACCATGCCTTGGCACTTGCCTCGGTCCCACCCCCTTCTGCCAGAGACCCTCAGATCTGTCCCACTCCTGCCCAGGCCCCCACAGGCACCCTTGACGCGAACGATGTAGAGCTGGCCATGCCCACCCAGTAGGCCACACCCACTCCAGCCACACCCACCCAGTAGGCCGCACCCACCATGGCCACACCCACCCGCCCCCCCCCAATGCTGATGCGGCCCTCAATGAAATTGAGTTTGACACCCCTGGTCTATGATGTCTTCCAGCTGTGAATCCTCAGAGTCTGACTCAGCTTCCCCGCACAGCTGGGTCTCAGCCTGAGCACGAGTAGAGGGGCCAGACTCTTCATCAGATTGAAACTCCTGGAGGTCATCAGAGCCTTCCTCCGATGGCTCTCCAGGCCCCTCCTCCTCCTCCTCCTCTGATTCCCCGGACTCAGCTGCCGGGTCCACTGGCTGGCACGGAATCACAACGGAAGTGAACCTAGTCTCCCCCATTGACAGGTCAGAAAAGGGGATCAAGTGACCCCAGGACGCTGCGACCATCATTAAGTACGAACCAGTTGCCAAGCATCTGAATTTTTGACACGTGACACTTCTTGATTTTGATCACGGGGGAGGCTGCAACAGTCATTAGCGTGAAAAAAGGGTCCTAAGTCCCCTTTTTCTAGTGCTGTTGTAACTTCAAACGATCATTAAAGCAGGGCTTTTCAACCTTTTCATCCATTGTACCACTTTTAGGATATGGCAACATCCAAGTACCACCAGGCGCCTAGCAAGGTGTCAAAAACTTGATGACCCCCCCCCCCAAAAAAGGGAAAAAAGTGATGAAGTACAGGTAGTCCTCGACTTACAACAGTTCGCTTAGTGACTGTTCGAAGTTTCAATGGCACTGAAAAAAGTGCCCCCCCCAAGGCACAGCCGAGCAAGACACCTGCCTGCCCACCCGGCCGCGCTCTTCCTCCTGTCCGAGGTTTTCATTGTTGTGAGCATTTCTGTTGAGGATTGGCAGCGGGGGTGGGGTGGGGGGTGTTTGATTTTTATTCCCCCCGTCTGCTGGGTGGTTGCAGCAGGTTTTGGTCACTTCACATGACCCTGGGACACTGTGACCGTCATAAATATGAATCAGTTGCCAAGCATCTGAATGTAAATCACAAGACCCTGGAGAGGCTGCAACATTCCAGCTGATTGGCGCTTCTTCTGGGCTCAGCAGAAGAGCCAGGATCAGCAACGAGCTCCAGCTGGAGCCTGGCGCTGATCCTGGAGCTTCCACTGAGCCCTGACAGCCCCAAAGAAGCGCCGATCATCTGGAAAGCATCACTGATCCTGGCGCTTCCGCTGAGCCCTGACAGCCCTGCAGCTCCAGCCATCTCTTGCTCAGGCTTGTGCGGTGCTGCCACTGGTTCAGCTCATTCCCCTCCCCCACTACCACTTTTCTAGGATGGTCGCGTACCCCCTGCCAGGTGCCAATGTACCACAGGTGGTACCCGTACCACTGGTTGAAAAGCCCTGCATTAAAGGACTATCTGGACAAATGCAAATATGTACTCCTATAATTCCAATTCTGCAAGGGATCACTTATCTTACTTGGTGTGATGTAAGACCTCACTTGGTGGGTTAAAGAACGGGGTGAACTTCCAAACCCATCATGTTTGGCTAGGTAGGAATTCCAGTGTAGTAAATTCGGAAGGCATCAAGTTGAGGAATACTAGAGAGAACGTTAATGTCCTACTGACTGTAGGAAAAATTTAACCCACGCTTCTCCGACTTACCATTGCAGGCCGTTATGTAGACCGAAACCCCGATTTCTTCGTATTCTTTTATAATCTGCAACAGGGAAGGAAATAACATTCGGTTACTTTTTCTGGATTTAGCAAAGCTTGCCCATTCCACCCGTTATCGATCTGCTATGAAAATTCCCTCTTAAAGTTGGCCTCCAGTTGTCTTAAAAGGAATAAGATGAAACACAACGATTAAATCTCTCAAACTTGTCTTTTCCTTATCCTGGTGCCCTGCGGATAGTGGCTAACCATGTAGGAGAAGAAATTGGCAGAACCAGGGGGCGGAGTCAAAAGAGGCAGCAGCCTAGAATTCCTACATAGTCGTTAAGTGGACTAAGTCCGATCTCCCATGAATTCCGTGGACCCGTATTTAACTCTAAGCAGATGCTACCTGGTAGTTGAGAATGTTCTTATGCCAAGGCTGTTTGGCAATAAATCTGTTTAATTGGACCTTCTTTTGTGGATCTGATATTTCCCATCTGACAAAAGGTAAGGAAACAACGTATGTGGGGAGACTTGAAAAAAAACAACACCTGAATTGCAGTAAGCTCTTTTGTGTAATTGGGTATGTCTAGTTTAATGAAGATTAGGACGAGGGTTGACATGATAGCAGTCTTCCAATCTCTCAGGGGCTGCCCCAAAGAAGAGGGAGTCAAGCTATTCTCCAAAGCGCCTGAAGGCAGGACAAGAAGCAACGGGTGGAAACTAACCAAAGAGAGAAGCAACCTGGAACTAAGGAGAAACTTCCTGACAGTGAGAACAATTAACCAGTGGAACAACCTGCCTCCAGAAGTGGTGAATGCTCCAACACTGGAAGTTTTTAAGAAGAGACTGGACAGCCATTTGTCTGAAATGGTATAGATCTCCTGCATGAACAGGGGGTTGGACTAGATGACCTCCAAGGTCCCTTCCAACTCTGTTATTCTCTTATTCTGTATCATTTTAACTTGACCCTAGTGCATGAAAGAGCACAAAATTAAGCAGCTGCTTCATTCTCAGAAAGAGCGATTAAAACCGGTATTCATTCACAGCTTCTGGAGGCAGGTTGTTCCACTGGTTAATTGTCCTCACTGTCAGGAAGTTTCTCCTTAGTTCTATAGCTGCTTCTCTCCTTGGTTAGTTTCCATCCGTTGCTTCTTGTCCTGCCTTCAGGCGCTTTGGAGAATAGCTTGACTCCCTCTTCTTTGGGGCAGCCCCTGAGATACTGGAAGACTGCTATCATGTCCCCCCCCTCATCCTTCTCTTCGTTAAACTGGACATGCCCAATTCCAGCAACCGTTCCTTGTGTGTTTTAGCCTCCAGTCCCCAGGTAGTACGTACTGACTGAAGGGCTTTTGCTCCAACCGAATCCACAAAGTTCACGGGTGAAAAATCTAGAATGATGGAGTGGACGTGGCTTCCCGGTATCATAAAATGTTCCACTTCCTCCGGAGAGACATTTTGCGGTGTGTCTTCGGCCGCTGCGAATTTCCCATTAAGGGAGACTTCATTTTCCAACACTTCGTGGTTCATACCACGCTCCATGTTGTTCGTCTTTTTAAATATTTTTCGTTTCGTTCAAGACAAGGTTTCAATACAAAATACCCGACAGCAGGAAAAAAGACAAAGGCAAAAAAAAAAAAGGACAAAGGAGACAAAACAATCACAATATTAAAAAAGGTGCATTAAAAATCCCCCAACAAACAGCACATATACATATATTATCCCCTCTATTGAATGCTGATTGATACATGACTATAAAATTTGTCATGACGCTTTGCCCTCTTTAAACTACTAAATCTATGTGCAAATTATTGACCTGTGTTCTGCATATTACATTAGGGAGAAAATAGTTAACGGGAAGAAGAAGAATACCAAACAAAATCAAACCAAACAAAGGTTTAAAATTGTAATCCACTCATATGATCTCCTTCTGAGACTTTCTGAGAAGCAAAATCAATTAGAATTAGAATAGAATAGAGCTGGAAGGGACCATGGAGGTCTTCTAGTCCAGCCCCCTGCTCAAGCAGGAGATCCCTAGAGACCATTTCAGACAAGCGACTGTCCAGCCTCTTCTTAAAATTCTCGCTTTGCAATGTTACTAAACTGAATGACCGCAATGATTCATTTAACAACTACGTCAAGAAAGGTCGTAAAATGGGGCAAAACTCACTAGATAAATGTCTCACTTAGCAACAGAAATGTGGGTGGGGGGGTCAATTGTGGTTGTAAGTCGAGGAATACCTGTATTCTCCTTTATTGGTGCAAATCTCTTAGCAGGGGGCTGGACTCCAAGGTTCTGTTCTATTCTATTCTATTCTATTCTATTCTATTCTATTCTATTCTATTCTATATTATTCTATTCTATTCTATTCTATTCTATTCTATTCTATTCTATTCCATTCCATTCCATTCCATTCCATTCCAATATTCTATTCTATTCTATTCTATTCTATTCTATTCTATTCTATTCTATTCTATTCTATTCTATTCTATTCTCTATCTTATCCTATATTCTATTCTATTCTATTCTATTCTATTCTATTCTATTCTATTCTGTTCTGTTCTGTTCTGTTCTGTTCTGTTCTGTTCTATTCTACTCTACTCTATTTTCTTTTCTATATTCTATTTCTATTCTATTCTATTCCCACGTTACGCCGCTTTTGCGCGAGCTGCATTGGCTGCCGGTAGCCTTCCGGGTGCGCTTCAAGGTGCTGACTATTATCTTTAAAGCGCTCCATGGCATCGGACCTGGCTATCTTCGAGACCGCCTCCTGCCACAGATTTCCTCCCACCGACCTGTACGCTCCCACAGAGTGGGTCTCCTCAGGGTGCCGTCAGCCAGACAGTGCCGGCTGGCGACCCCAAGGGGGAGGGCCTTCTCTGTGGGAGCTCCCACCCTCTGGAACGAACTACCCCCAGAGATCAGGGTGATCCCTGATCTCCCTTCCTTCCGCCGCGCCCTCAAGATGTGGTTGTTCCAGCTTGCGGGACTGGCCTAAGGGATTTTAAAGGGGTTTTATTTATTTTTAAATTTGATGAGTTTAAATATTTCTTTTTAATCAATTTTATAGGTGTATAATGTGTGTGTTTTTTATCTGATTGTTAGCCGCCCTGAGTCCGTAAGGAGAAGGGCGGGATATAAATGTAATTAATAAATAAATTAATAAATAAATTCTATATTCTATTCTTTATTCTATTCTATTCTATTCTATTCTATTCTATTCTATTCTATTCTATTCTATTCTATTCCATTCTATTCTATCCCATTCCATTCTCTATTCTATTCTATTCTTCTATTCTATTCTATTCTATTCTATTCCATATTATATTTCTATTCTATTCTAAATTCTATTCCATTCCATACCATACTACTACTACTACTACTACTACTACTACTACTACTACTGCTACTACTCCTCTATTCTATTCTAATCAGTCTGTATTCCTCAAGGCGTTTCAGACTTACCATCTTCAAGACGGCTTTCTTATGCTGTTCATCCAGCTGCTTCAGTTCCTTGGCGTGTCGTTTTCGTGCTTTTTTCTTTGCTGCCGATATTTTACCCGGATCCACACCAGTCTGCCCCCAAAAGAAAGGAAAATCAAGATTTGTCTCACCTCGCAACAGAAGCCAAATGAACGCCAGCAGGCTGCTGCCCTAACACATACCGTAGGGTGAATCTTTTAAAACCCAATCCTTCTTTACCTCTGTGTACCCCAATATTGCCGCCGAATGAGCAGCTTCAATTCATGAAAGCGGCTAATAGCTTTACTGAATTCAACCTATTCAGGAAGTTAATTCGCTTGCTAAATTGATCATTTAACGTCCATTGCAAAGGGTCGCTTTTATGGGATTGCGATTTAGAACAGTGAAGAGATTTTGGATAATCTACCACAACGACCCTTGATTCGGTTGAAAATATCACTGGCCAGGTAGTTCTTGACTTTACAATTATTTGTTTAGTGACTGTTCAAAGTTACAAGAAAAAAGTGACTTATGACTGTTTTTCATATGACCATGATTATAATACAGGGGTCTTCAAAACTGGCCCTTGATTATAATACAGGGGTCTTCAAACTTGGCCCTTTGATGACTGGTGGACTTCAACTCCCAGAATTCCTCAGCCAGGCACGCCTGGCTGAGGAATTCTGGGAGTTGAAGTCCACCAGTCATCAAAGGGCCAAGTTTGAAGACCCCTGGTCTGGATCTAAGCCCGCAGTTTCATCAAAATGGCCGACTGAGGGATTCTGGGAGTTGAAGTCCACCAGTCATCAAAGGACCAAGTTTGAAGACCCCTGGTCTGGATCTAAGCCCGCAGTTTCATCAAAATGGCCGACTGAGGAATTCTGGGAGTTGAAGTCCACTAGTCATCAAAGAGCCAAGTTTGAAGACCCCCGGTGTGGATCCAAGCCCGCGGTTTCATCAAAATAGCCAACTGAGGAATTCTGGGAGTTGAAGTCCACCTGTCATAAAAGGGCCAAGTTTGAAGACCCTTGGTCTGGATCCAAGCCTGTGGTTTCATCAAAATGGCCGACTGAGGAACTCTGGGAGTTGAAGTCCACAAGTTCAGATGCTTGGCAACTGACTCACATTTATGACAGTCGCAGTGTCCCGGGGTCATTTTGCAACCTTGGGCTCAATTGTGGATCATCAGTCAAAACTTACCTGTTCGTGGACTGTACCACTTAAAACCGCGGGGGAAGACATAAAATATTTGAGTATCACCGTCCTCACCTTTATCTCATTTAAAAAAAAAACGTGGAAGAATAAAACCGGCATCTTAAATAGAAACGGTAGTCTTAACTCTCTACTGTTCAGGGTTGGTTTTTTGTTTTAAGATTGAGAATACCACAATCTTCCTGTCTCCCCCAGCACCAAAGTCTGTAATTCTAGAGCCCGACAAATACCTGTTTCATGAGTTTCCTTATACAATTTGACGGTGGATTGAATAATAACAGGAAGAAATAAATTAATTTACCTTTTTTTTCAACGCGCTGGTAAATAATTCACTGTTGGCAAAATAGAGCGGTGCATTTGCCTGGAATATTTTAATCCCAGGATATTCTTTCACCTAAATTGTGGCAGAATGAAAACATATCATAAGGGGTCCTTGTTAAGTTTGCACGGCATTAAATTCAGCGGAACCTGCAAGAGTAGCTACTTGTTTTATCTTAGAAAAGTAGGCGATTACGACATTTCCTGGATGGCCGTCTTGCTAACGCAAAAATCAAAAGATTAGTGTTTCTACTATTTTTCTTGACCCAAAAGTTGCATGGGGTATTTCTGTGTCTGGGGAAAAATGGAACCCCCCCCTTTTTTTAAAGGATTAAAAATAGAATTGTATTTGTACAATCCTAAAACACTGCGACTTTTGCTCTCCTCTCCCTGTAAAAACATATTTTCCTGTCCACTCTTCCCTAATTCTGACTACGCTTCTTCCCAAGTTAATTGGCAGTTATAAATGTTGCCTTCAAGGATTGTTTACACTCCAAATTTGCAGCAAAATTCTCTCTTTTTTTTTTTTTTTGGCAGACCCCTAAACTATGTCCTAGTCGTTGGAATGACTTTCCCAACTGAAGCAGAGCTGTTTAATCTTCTTTCTCCTAATAAAGACCAACCCATCTGCAGCAAACAAAACTAGCAAGCTGGATCCCAACAGCTGGGTTTGTGAGAAAAAGAGTTGTCAAATTTGGATGACATAATTTTTACACGGAGAGGAGACTGTCTAATCCATACCACCCTGCGTGCAGCATGGCAGGTTCTAAGAGCAAGTTTATGCTGAAGAATGCATTGCATGCTTTATATATACTTTATATAATACTTTATGAAAAAATGGAGGTAGTGACAGATTTTATCTTCCTGGGCTCCAAGATCACCCCAGATGGGGACTGCAGCCAAGAAATTAAAAGACGCTTGCTCCTGGGGAGGAAAGCTATGGCAAATCTAGACAGCATACTCAAAAGCAGAGACATCACCCTGCCAAAACAGTGCGTATAGTCAAGGCCGTGGTTTTCCCAGTTGCAATGTATGGATGTGGAAGCTGGACCATAAGAAAGGCTGAGCACCAAAGAATGGAGGCCTTTGAACTCTGGTGCTGGAGAAGACTCCTGCGAGTCCCCTGGACTGCAAGGCGATCCAACCGGAAGGTTCCCCATGAGGTCCCTATTGTTCCACCCCATTTTTAACTGAACCCATTAATTTTACGTGTCTTCCAGAGTCCCAGATCTCTTACCTCTTCGTACAGGTCCACATCACAATAAATATCCGTGTTTTGAATCTGGCCAAGGATTCTATATTGGGGACTGTGGAGGAAAATGACAGGAATAAAACGTGTTATTGGGTTTAGATTGGAGAAATCTTCACGAACTTGCGTACTTCAGCGTGGCAGAATTCCTAGAAATATTCTTTTTAAAAAAACCAAACCAACCTACCAAACCTGTCTCTTTACTGACTGTGTCCAAAGTTTATATCCACTATCAAAACAGGTTCTCCTGCTTTGAACCTGACTCACTGATCAAGAACTAAAGGAGGCAAACTTCAGCTCACAAAAATAAGCAGTTATATAACTGAAGCCTTTACAAGACATTTCCTGACAGTGAGAACAATTAACCAGGGGAACTACCTGCCTCCAGAAGCGGTGAATGCTCCAACACTGGAAGTGTTTAAGAAGAGACTGTACAGCCATTTGTCTGGAATGGTTTAGGGTTTCCTGCCTGAGCAGGGGGTTGGACTAGATGACCTCCAAGGCCCCTTCCAACTTTTTACTATTGTTGTTGTTGTTGTTGTTGTTGTTATTATTATTATTATTATTATTATTATTATACGCATACTAAGTGGAAAAAATCTACTTTGCAAGACATGGTTCCCGAAACATGTCCACGCATTTAGAGCAACAATATCGTTTGGGTAATCATTTTAATTGTAATCTGAAAATAATAATAATCGGGATGGGAAAGGCAGATTCACTTAAAAACCGTGTTATTAACTTATCACCTGCAAGCGATTCACTTAACAAATGTGGAAGGAAAAAGTCGTAAAGTGGGACGAAAGTCACTTAACAAACGTCTCAGTTAGCAACCTAAATTTTTGGGCTCGACTGCGGTCGTAAATGAAGGACTACACCTGTATTAGGAACGTTTTGCTGCCTTGAGTTATTTGGGATAAAAAGGCAGGATCTGAACGGAATCCAATCAATGAAGTAAATGGATTAAATAAACGAATTAAATAAATAAAAAAGAAAGAAAGAAAGAAGGAAGGTAGGAAGGAAGGAAGAAAAGCTGAAGGGAAAAAGAAGGGAGGAGGGGAGAAAGGAAGGGAACGGAAGAGGGAGGGAGGGAGGGAAGGAAGAAAAGAAAGAAAGAAAAAGAAAGAAAAGCTGAAGGGAAAAAGAAGGGAGGAAGGGAGGAAGAAAGGGAAGGGAAGAGGGAGGAAAGAAAGAAAGAAAGAAAGAAAGAAAGAAAGAAAGAAAGAAAGAAAGAAAGAAAGAAGGAAGGAAGATTGGAAAGATAGAACGAAAGAAAGAAAGAAAGTTAAGAAAGAAAGAAGATTGAAAAGATAAGAAAGAAAGAAAGAAAGAAAGAAAAAAGTTTAGAAAGAAAGAAAGAAAAAAGATTGGAAAGATAAGAATGAAAGAAAGAAAGAAAGAAAGAAAGAAAGAAAGAAAGAAAGAAAGAAAGAAAGAAAGAAAGAAAGAAAGAATAAAGAAGTGTCAAAAACAAACCGGGAACTTTCTTTTACGGGTTTAAAAGTTTAACTGATACCTTTGGGTCCTGTACACAATGGTGACCACTGCGAAGGTGATTGAGGTGAGCAAGCCGTAATCCAGGCCCAGGAACACCGAGGCCAAAAAAGCTACAATCCAAATGGCCTAAAAAAAAAAAATCAAAGTAAAGGAATCATCCAATCAGCAATATACAGTTTATTGTCTCTGGAGATTCTCAGTCAATCCAGGTCCTGGTTGTCCCAAAGGTGCTTTTTTTCAGGAGGCAACTGGACTTTCCTGGTTTTTTTTTTCTTTGAAGACGTTTCGCTTCTCATCCAAGGAGCTTCATCAGTTCTGACCGGATGGCGGGAGAATGGAAGGATTTTACATCCTGCAGCTAGGAAGACTCCACACCCATTTGCACCACTCAGGTGACCTTCAGGACACAGGTGAGCCTCCAAGTGGCCTCAAGGACTCTCTAAAAGGAGGCAAATGACCAGCTCTCTGCAAGGAGTATAAATCCTTCCACTTTCCCCACCATCCAGTCAGAACTGAAGAAGCTTCTGGGATGAGAAGGGAAACGTCTTCAAAGAAAAAAACAAAGAAAGTCCAAGTTGCCTCCTGAAAAAAACACTTTTGGGACATACAGTTTATTGTTTTTCAAGGTCCCTTCTATTCTATTCTATTCTATTCTATTCTATTCTATTCTATTCTATTCTATTCTATTCTATTCTATTCTATTCCATTATTCTACTCTACTCTACTCTACTCTACTCTACTATTCTATTCTATTCTATATTCTATTCTATTCCATTATTCTACTCTACTCTACTCTACTCTACTCTACTCTACTCTACCCTACTCCACTCCACTCCATTCCACTATTCTATTCTATTCTATTCTATTCTATTCTATTCTATATTCCATTCCATTATTCTACTCTACTCTACTCCACTCCATTCCACTATTCTATTCTATTCTATTTTATATTCTATTCCATTATTCTACTCTACTCTACTCTACTCTACTCCACTCCACTCCACTCCACTCCACCCCAAACCACTCCACTCCACTCCACTATTCCATTCCATTCCATTCCATTCTCCTCCCAGATCCTGAAGCATCACTGTACTTGAATGAATTGATTCTTACATGGATGCTTTTCCTTGCGCAACGTAACTGTGACAGGGGAATGCTGGACTAATTACACAAATTAAAAATAAGAGGTAAAAAGCCGAAGAAAAGAAGCTGACGGGCACAAAAAAAATCACTCACCAGTTCAATCTTGCTGGTTCTCCAAAAGTGGGCGATATCTGCCAACTGTTTGAACATGCCTTTCAGGTTGACCATCACAATCGCTGCCAGCACAGTCTAGGAAAACAATTTGAGAATAGTATGATTTTTTTTTTTTTGGTCTGAATTCACGTCAAACTCATTCCAGGCATCTAGCCGTGTGCATGCCTTTTTTAAAAAAAAAATATGTATTTCCAAACGTTAACAAGAATAAGCATTCAAGGAAACAGGAAATACTTTGATTTTTCTGGGCACGTGTTTCTCAGAAACCGAGATGCTTTTATGACAATTCCCAGCAATATCTTTCAGATGGCCACTTTCCTAATTTTTGTCTTTTTTAAAAGGTTAACCTGAAACTGGCTATGCCTGCTTGCTGACAAACTAGTTTAAATCTGTCAATTGCAAACACTTTCTTCGATCTGATGAGAAAGCATAATAAAATATATTCACTGTAATTAAGGATATAGGTAATCTTCTATTGAGCAACAAGTTCTCAACGTCTTAAGTCAAATTTGTATACGAGCTGTTACAGTATTATGATATAGCAATAGCACTTAGCACTTAGACTTATATACCGCTTCATATTGCTTTACAGCTCTCTCTAAGCGGTTTATAGAGTCAGCCTATTGTCCTCCCAACAATCTGGGTCCTCATTTTAGCGACCTCAGAAGGATGGAAAGTTGAGTTAACCTTGAACCGGTCAGGATCGAACTGTTGGCAGTCGGCAGAGTTTAGCCTGCAATACTGCATTCTAACCACTGAACTGCCACGGCTTACATAGCAATAGCACTTAGACTTATATACCACTTCATATTGCTTTACAGCCCTCTCTAAGCGGTTTATAGAGTCAGCATATTGTGCCCCCAACAATCTGGGTCCCCATTTTAGCGACCTCGAAAAGATGGAAGGCTGAGTCAATCTTGAGCCAATCAGGATCGAACTCCTGGCAGTGGGCAGAGTTAGCTGGCAATACTGCATTCTAACCACTGCACCGCTTAGATAGCAATAGCAACAGCTCGACTTAGACTTATATACTGCTTCATTGTGCTTTAATGCCCTTTCTAAGCGGTTTACAGAGTCAGCCTATTGCCCCCCACAACGATCTGGGTCCTCATTTTACCGACCTCGGAAGGTGGAAGGCTGAGTCAACCTTGAGCCCCATCAGGATCGAACTCCAGACTGTGGGCAGAGTCAACCTGCAATGCTACATTCTAACCATTGCACCACCATGGTGTTGTGTAATGGATTTGAATCATCGTGTATTTAACTCGAATTTTGCTACAACAGGCTCTGTTCTTAACCTTGGGTTGTCTTTAACCCAAGATGACTGGGGACTTCCTGTATTTAGAAAGAACTTTAGAAAAAGCTAGTGGTGTTTATGGGGGACCACCAGAGAAAAGGATACACGGTTAAAATATCTAACAATTATCTATGGTCTCAATTCTGAGACCACCAAGCAATAAGAAAGCTAGGTTTAACAGACACAGATATGGTGGCCTGTTAAACAGGATTTTTAATTCTGCTGATTTAGACTATCTAGAGACCCACTTACCTGTGGCAACGGTGCAAAGAGGTAACCGATGGCGATAATCACCAGGAAAACCATAATTGAGGACAAAGTTCCTGCAATCTGAACAAAAAAAATATATATCAGAGAAACATTTTAGTAAGAATAAGGTCTAGGACAGGGGTGGGCAACCTTGGCTCTTTTATGACTCGTGGACTTCAACTCCCAGAATTCCTGAGTCAGCCTGGCTCAGCTTGGAAACCTCTCCCTTTCCCCTCAGCATGGCTGGCTCAGGAATTCTGGGAGTTGAAGTCCACAAGTCATAAAAGAGCCAGGGTTGCCTACCTTTGGCCTAGGCCTAGGCCANCTTCAACTCCCAGAATTCCTGAGCCAGCATGGGGGAACTATGGCCCTTTTATGACTCGTGGACTTCAACTCCCAGAATTCCTCAGCCAGCATGGCTCAGCTTGGAAACATCTCCCTTTCCCCTCAGCGTGGCTGGCTCAGGGATTCAGATAAAAAAGTCGGCATTTTCCCCACCTGGGTCTTCCCTCCAGTGCCTTCCTGAACAAGACTCCGAGACATCGAGCAGGTGATGGCAAACGTCTGGAAAAAGGACCCAGTGGAATTACAGATGCCCAGCGCGATGAGTTCCTGGGAAGAAGAGAAAGGGGAGAGAAGAGGATGCGTCACAAACTTGTCTTTGCTTGTGAGAATATCACAAAAGGGGATCAAGCGGCAACCGTCATAAATACGAGTCAGTGGCCAAGCATCCGAATTTTAATCATGTGATGTTGCAATGGTCGTCAGCGTGAAAACTGGTCGTAAGTTACTTTTTTTTCGGTGCTGTTGTAACTTCGAAACACTAAGAGGAATACTTCTACTGGGAAACACAAATGTTATCGATTGCAGAGTTTTATCCAGGTCACGAGTAGCCAAGCCCGAGGTTACAATTAGGTTACCTGATTTCCGTCCACTGTGTAGCCGTGCTTGAGAGCAAAGATTTTAGCCATTGAGATGGTCATGGAGAACCCAACAAGAGCTATAGCAATGGCATCCACAAACACTGCTGGGATTAGGCTGACGTCAGGTACTTGAGGACGGGATAATCTATAAGAAGTAGTAAGAGAAAAAAAATCAGTTACATTACAGTGCTACAGCGCTGGGCTGCATTAACAGAGGGAGAGAATCAAGATCACGTGAAGTATTAATACCACTTTACAAGGCCTTGCTAAGGCCACGCTTGGAATAGGGCATCCAGTTTTGGTCACCACGATGTAAAAAAGATGTTGAGACTTTTTAAAGAGTACAGAGAAGAGCAACAAAGATGATTTAGGGGACTGGAGGCTAAAGCATATAAGGAACAGTTGCTGGAATTGGGGATGTCTAGTTCAATGAAGAGAAGGACGAGGGGGGACATGATAACAGGGTTTTAATATCTCAGGGGCTGCCCTAAAGAAGAGGGAGTCAAGCTATTCCCCAAAGCACCTGAAGGCAGGACAAGAAGCAACGGATGGAAACTAACCAAGGAGAGAAGCAACCTGGAACTAAGGAGAAACTTTCTAATAATGAGAACAATCAACCAGTGGAACAACCTGCCTCCAGAAGCTGTGAATGCTCCAACATTGGAAGTTTTTAAGAAGAGACTGGACAGCCATTTGTCTGAGCAGGGTGTTGGACTATATGACCTCCAAGTTCCCTTCCAACATTATTATCATCATCTTCTTCTTCTTCTCTATATGACCTCCAAGTTCCCTTCCAACATTATCATCATCATCATCATCATCATCATCATCATCATCTTCTTCTTCTTCTCCTCCTCCTCCTCCTCCTCCTCCTCCTCCTCCTCCTCCTCCTCCTCCTCTTCTCCTTCCCCCTTCTATTGTTATATTATTATTACATTATTATTATATTGTTGTTGTTGTTACTATTATTATTATAAATTTAGAAGCTCTAAGCATACAGGAAGCCATTGACTTAACAACCATTTGTTTAGCAACCATTCAAAGTTACATCAGCACTGAAAAAGGAGAGATTTATGAGCAGTTTTCACACTTAGGACCTTGGTCATGTGATCAAAATGTGACCGCTTGGCAGCTGGCATGCATTTATGACAGTCCTGGGGATCATGTGATCCCCTTTTGCAACCTTCTGACAAGCAAAGTGAACGGGGGAGCCAGGTTTATTTCACAATCGTGTTCCTAACATAACAACGGCAGTGATTCACTTAACAACCGTGACAAGAAAGGTCCTAAAATGGAGCAATCGTTCACTTCATAACTCCCTGGCTTAGTAGCAGAAATCTGGGGCTGAATTACTATCGTAAGATGAGGAATCGCTGGACACCCCCCCCATATATCTTATGCTTACCCACTCGGAATGTTTCCAACAATATCGACGTCGTAAGTCTTGGACAGATTCATTCCTGCTGAAACTCCGGTCCCGATGACCACCTTAAACACATACACACACAAAACAAAACACTTAAAGAGTTCAGAGGGGAGAATTTCAGAAGAAAGGTTGAGGGAAGGAATCCCGTTTTTATCATTATCTTCTAACCAAGGAGTGAAGCAACCTAGAACTAAGGAGAAACTTCCTAACGGTGGGAGCAATCAGTCAACACAATGGCTTCCCTTCAGAAGCTGTGGGTGCTCCATCCCTGGAGGTCTTTAAGAAGAGACTGGACAGCCATTTGACCGGAATGGTAGAGGGTCTCCTGCTGGAGCAAGCGGTATATAAATCTAAGTGCTATTGCTCTCTCTCTCTCTCTCTCTC